GGGGGGGGGGAGGGTCGTATTTTTCAGGAACTGATCACAACGCAATGGCGTGTCCTGTCTGCCATGCACCGACGATATTGACGTAAGTGACGATCGCGGCGATCGCCGCTGCTGTCGCGAACTATGAACGCTGCCGTACGTCGCTTACGTCAGTTTCGTCCGTTACTTCGGATCAATACGTATATAGTCTTCGCGAACTAGTCGTCGAAAACGTCGGTTACGTCGACGTTGACGACTACGTCGCAAGGTATGAATGCAGCCTCAGATTGGCCGATAATTGATGGGGTTGTTTTTCTTACACAAGTCTTTATATGGAAAGTGGAAATCGTCTACATTATGTTCTATGTTATTCAATAGATAAGTTTCCGCTCCGAGAGTTTGATTGCCTTCCTATTATTAATTATTCCTGTCGGTTATTATGCTATTGAAATAAAATTCCCGGTCGAAAAGTGAGTTTTCGGCAGGTTAGTGTGCATCGTTAAATTTTTTTGAGTTGTTGAGCGCTTAAATAGTAGTGCGAACAGAATCTTCCTAAAACTAAGAACTCCATCCCATAGAGCAAGGAATTCTCTGGAAAACAGTATGAATCTCGATGGCAAAAGGTTTCATCTTCAGTGCGATATATTGAGTGAGAAAAAACGGGCCAACCCAACATTTTGAGACTGCGTGCCGATGAGCTGGTGTTCTCTGCGCCTCATTGTGAGGTTTTTTCGCGCGCGTAATTTTCCATTGTGCATTGCTATGTGATTTCTTTGACTTGAGGCGCACTCGAAGTTTGTTCGATTCACTGGACTGATCTTGAATGGGTAATAACCTGAATCATTCAATTGCTGTTGTGTGGTGGGTCAGATCGTCTGTGATTTGAGGCACAACAGAGTAACTGGCTGCTTATGGAAAAGCAACAGAAACGTAGGGGGGGGGACCATCAAACATTTGTGTGTTTGTTCAGTGAACGTGCCAGAAGAAGATTTCTCATGTCGCAGAGGACACCGCTCCACATCCTCTTTCAGCATTAAGTAAAGACCCTCTGCATTGCCTTTTTCTGGGCACTCGTAAATCAACTCTTTTATTAACACACCATTGAGAGAATCTAAGTGCACGTGTAGGAAACCGTACTTCGCGGGAGTAATGTTCCCTGAGAGTCTGTTTCGTACATTCCCTACAAAACTCACATAGTCACCCCGTACCTCACTCGGAAATCCAAGAATAGCGGACTGAGAAGGCTTCAGTCACATTGGCACCGATACTCGACTAAAGATATTTTCCGATCATATGCAGCTATAATCCTTACAAACGAAGGACATATGAGCGGGGGGGGGGGGGGGGGGGGGGGGGGGGGG